ATCCTCTCCTACATTCTGTCATGCATGACATATGCTTTTTTTTCTTATTTTATATTTAAGTTTATAATGTTTATTTTCCTTTTCTTATTACGCATTTAAGTTTTAGTATTTGTCTAAAATAAAAAAGATAAAAAAAATAAAATAAAAAGAACTACAAGTATCATCTTCCCAGGTAGGGATGTAAACAGTTCGGCTCCATTGAATTCTTTATGTTTTCTCTTCCCTTTTTAGTCTTCCTTTGGGTCTTGATATTGGACATCAAATGTTTTGTTCAATTCTGCTCTTCCCCTTATGAAAGCTTGAAATCCTTCTATTTCATTGAACGACCATTTTTTCCCCTTGGTTGTTAGCCTAGTTCCTTTGCCTTCTGGAATATCATTTTCCACCACCTCTGCTTTTTTAATGTTGCAGTTATTAAGTCCTCTGTAATCCTAATTGTAGCTCCCAGATATCTGAATTGTTTCTTTCTGGCCCTTGCAGTATTTTTCCCTTGACCTGTAGTTCTGAGATTTGGCTATAATGTTCCTTGGAGTTTTTACTTTGGAATATCTTTCCTGAGGTGATCAGTGGATTCTTTCAACGTCTATTTTGCCCTCTGATTCCAGGATATCAAAGCAGTTTTCCTCGATAATTTCTTGAAAGATGCTGTCCAGGTCCTCCTTTTGATTATGAAAATCCAAAGATTCTGACGTTGTGTCTCCTGGATCTATTTTCCAGGTTAGTTGTTTTTCCCTTGGAGTATTTTACTTTTTCTTCTATTTTTTCATTCTTTCGAATTTGATTGATTTTTTTTTTTGGCAAGGCAATCAGGGTTAAGTGACTTGCCCAGGGTCACACAGCTAGTGAGTATCATGGGTCTAAGGCCAGATTTGAACTCAGGTCCTCCTGACTCCAGGGTCAGTGCTCTATCCACTGCACCACCTAGCTGCCTCAACCAACAGAATTTGATTGATTCTTGATGTCTCATAAAGCCATTACCTTCTACTTGCCTAATTCTAACTTTTAAGGAATTGTTTTTCCCAGTTAGCTTTTGTACGTCCTTTTCCACTCGGCCAATTGTACTTTTTAAGTTATTTAATTCAGTGTGTTTTTGTATCTCTTTTTACATTTGGGCAATTCTACTTTTTAAGCAGTTCCTTTCTTTTTCCAAGCTGTTGACTCTTTTTTTTCCCCAACAGTTCTCTTACATCACTCTCATTTCTTTGCCCATTTTTTCTTCTAACTCTCTGCCATGATTTTAAGCTCTTTTTGGAGCTCTTCCGTGAGTTCTTTCTGGGCTTGAGACCACTTCCTGTTTTTCTTTGGGGTTTTGCCCATAGGTGTTTTAATACTGTTGCCCTCTTGTGAGTTTGTTTCTCGATCTTCCCTGTTACCATAATCACTTTCTATGATCAGATTATTTTGTCATTGCCGCTGCTGTTATTTGCTCATCTTTTTTGGCTTTTTCCTTTCTTTTAAATCTGAACGCTGCTCCCGGGGTTGGAGGGGCCCTATCTTGTGCCAGGAGCTGCGGGTCCTGGCCGTTTACCTGGTTCTGCATTGATGTTGCCCTGAGGCCCACAGGGGACGCTCCTGTCTGGTGCTCTGCTGAGGAGGTGGGGTGAGGGGAGTTGGCATTGCTGGAGGCTGTAGGGATCTGACAGCTTATCCGCTGCATAGCCGGAGTCCTAGGGGTAGTATCCGGCATGTGCTGAGGTTGGTGGGGTGTTTCTGCACTTCCCTGGGGCTCTACTGAAGCACCGGCACTGGAGCCTGCCTGTTTGCTTGGGCATTCTGCCTGTTTGCCCAGAGCTATGCTGGAGCACATGGAGATCGGGCTCCTGGTGGCTGTCTATCTGCCCAGGCCTATGCTGAAGTAAACAGAGCTTCCTGGAGCTGGAGTCTGCTCGTTCCCCGGGCCGTGCTGAGGCATGCGGGGGGTCCTGATGCTAGCGTTTACCTGCTCCACCACCTTGTTCTCAGGATCTCCCACTGGTTTGCTAAGGTGGGGCTTACTGCAGGTTTGTTGGGACACTTCCTGTCCTGATCTGGGTTCGCCTTTTACCCTAGTGAGACAGACCTTTTTTGCCAGTCTTCCAATTTTCTTGAGCTAAAAGATTGTTTCACCCTGTTTGGCTGGTTCTGCTGTTCTAGGATTTGTTTGGGGATGGTATTTGTGGTTGTTTGGAGGTGAATATGGGAGAGTTACTGCAACTTACTGTCTACTCTGCTATTTTGAAACCTGAAGGCTAATGCATTCTTTAAAAAAAAAAGAGCATTTATTGTGCACCTACTATATTCTTGCTTCTGTGTTAAGCACTTTACAAATATTATATCATTTGATCCACTCAAAAACCATGAGAGTTGGGTACTATTATCATTCCCATTTTAAGAATGAGGAAACTGAGGCAGGCAGAGGTTAAGTGACTTGCACACCTTCATAGAGCTAGTAAATATCTGAAACCAGATTTAAACTCAGGTCTTGTTAACTCTAGGTTCAGTTCCCTATCCATTTAACCACTGAGTAGGCCTCATATCATGAGCATTTCCATTTAATATTACCTTCCATGAACTCTGTATGTGTCTTGAACATACCTACCTTTATATATGTTGTCTTCCCATTAGAATTTGAGGGTAAGGGCTTTTGTGGAGGAATTTTCTATATTGAGAGTTCCCTTATAGTGATGAAATTTCAGATGGCACCTAGACACACATATAGAAGCAATCAAAACATTCCCATGAGGATCTTATCTTTTACATCGGTGTTGCCTTACATCTTTCCTCACTAATTATATCCTTGTAGTAAAGTTGGTTGCATTTGTGATTATATTACTCTGGTCTTATTATATGACAGAACACTTAGTTATGGAAAAGAGATACTCAAATGAGTCTCTGATGGTTTAGCAGGGGTGGGGAACCTGCGACCTGGAGGTGACATGTGGCCCTCTAGGTCCTCAAGTGCGACCCTTTGACTGCATCCGACTTCACAGAACAAATCCCCAGTAAAAGAATTTGTTCTGTGAAGTTTGGATGCAGTCAATGGGCTGCACTTGAGGATCTAGAGGCCACATGTGGCCTCAAGGCCACAGGTTCCCCACTCCCCAGTAGCTAAAACACTGTTTTGGTCAGCATTAGCTCTTCAGAGTTGTTAAACTGTTTGTTATTCAGATCAGACATCTTCAAAAAGTGCCAGCACCTAGGACCTGCCAGTGTTGCTGAGTCATACAACAGTAGCAGCCTATAAAGCATCTTTGCAAAGTACATTTTCCTGTAATTTCAGCTAGAGACTGGGACACAGACATATACACATACACATGAGAATACACACACATACACACACACACACGCACGCGCGCGCGCACACACACACACATACACACACACTTCACAGTTTGGTTAAACACAGCTCTCTTGGTTAATTCCATTTTACCCTGCTAAAAATAAAGAAATGTGAAACAGGAGGCATTAATATTGTATTTTCCTCTTGTTATTTTTCTCGGAAGAATTGTTCCTTTCTAAGTCTGAATTAGATTCCCAGAAGAAACAATAAGTCCTCAGTAAAAAAAAATATATTAGTACGTAGTATTTTCCTAAATATTGGAATAAGGGAATAATTCTTTGCTAGTTTTCCAAATGCCTTTGCACTATGAATGCTTACAATCCTAATGCCTATTATTAATTCCCTTAATAAATAATAAAAAATGAAATCACATGAATGTACTTATTCTTTGGGAGACAAACCAAATACTAGGAAAATAAAACATATGAATGATTTTGATCATAATGACAATGATGACGAAATAGCTAAAATTAAAATAGCACTTCAACATTTGCAAAGCAACTTACATATATTATCTTACTTGATCCTCACAACAACCATCATCCCCATTTCATACCACCAACAACACTAATTGTTGATCTACTATCACCAGTAGACCATTAAAGCGAAGATCCAGTGGAATGATAGTGCTTCCATGGCCCTGCTTCCAGCCCAGCTCCCCCCCCCCAAAAAAACTCATTATTCAGGAGAGCAATCCCTGTAGAGATGGGCCACCCTCGGGACAGACAAGCCAACCTATTTGAAGCAGCAAGGCACTCAGAGGGAGAGACAGGAGGTTGCATGTGTTTGGCAAGTTGAGCTATCAAACTCCACCCTAACTGCCATCTTATCGCTCACCCTGATGGGCACAGTGAGCCATCAAGGAGCCCAAGAACCCTGGGAATCACAGGCTACAGCTACTGAACACTGAGAAAAGCAAATTTTTCCATGAAAATCCTTGACACTGTCAAACGGTTTCAGGTTAGCAATGGATATAGTTTTATCCATTAGATAAATAAATAAAGATTAAAGAAGATTCATGACCATCTGCTTTGCTGCTGAACTCTAGAGACCCTGGGGCCTTCCCATCTGACTTGCAGCTGAAACCGCCTTCGTGTGTTGTCTCCTATTAGATGCAGGCTCTCTGAGAGCAGGATTGGTCTAGCTTTCCTATTTGTATCCCTAGAGCTTTGCACATAGTATGTGCTTAATGAATGAATTCTTTTTCAGTCATTCATATAAATGGGGAAAATAAGGCTGAGAGAGAATAGGTGATTTGTCCAGGAGCACATTATTAAATGTCTATGATGGGGCTGTACCTCAGCTCTTCCTCATTCCCAAGTTTAGCAATCTATCCAGGACACCCCTTACTTATCTATCTCCTGCATAGATAAAGTCTATATTTAAAAGGAATAACCTGGCTGTCAGGAAACAAGGCTTTGTATGCATGCATACATGATAAGGCGTTGGGTGCCTGCTCTGGAACCTTGATCAGACACAGAATTCACTCCCTTTTCCACTTTCGTCTAGCAATTTCATCTCCACCTCACAATGAACACTGACGGAAAGCAGCAACGCTAGTCAAGAGAGAACTTCCTCAAGCAAACATGCTCTCCCCTTTTGGTTTTAAATCCCTTTAGATGGTGCTGTCTCTAAGGCAGCTCAGGAGACACTCGGAAGTATTAGCAGGTTCAAGGCTTACCTTAATGAGTATCCGAATGGAGCCTGTAGCTTTTGTGGATATGAAGTACCAGAAAGTCATAGTACAGGCTGCACTGGATTCTTGCCACTGAGAGCTCTTCAGATGGGCTTTCTCACCCCTCAAGCCTATGGGAGTAGCCTCTAGATAGAAGAAGTGCCCTGAGAACAAGGAGGAGAGTCAGTTACAATGACAATAGCAAGGCAACTAGTTGGGGCTTCCATTCTTCAATAGTGCTTTTAATTAAATTTCATATGCTCTGAACTGTCAAGGGCATTTCCGTTTAAAACAGAAAGGAAGACTAGCAGCACAGCCTCCAACTCTTTTACCAAACAATTTCCAACAGGCTGTGCTTGAGAAATGTGCTTTGCTGCACTCACTGGGAGCGTTAATTGATCTGAGAGGGATATTTATGCCACCAATTCAGCCAGGCAGCTATAGGACGATTTAAGCAACTCGGAACATCACTGTGAGCCTTCGTCATCCGGAGAGGACTTGAGTTTACAAAAGTAGTTCAAGCCAACTGCGCCCTCTTTATAAAATTGCCCCATTGCAATGCATGGCTGCTCACCAGGTGCTCCAAGTTCATGAAAGGGAATGGACAGCCTTTGTGAAACAGATGTGGTATACTTCTTCACCATGATTAAATGCAATCAAATCACTATGTGAGATATAAACAATGAAATCAAGCCAGCTTTCACATTTCATCATGTGTTGACTGGGCAAATAAGAGAGCTGGCATTCTCATATCCATAATTGCAACATAAGTAACACATGGTCACCCAAACCGCGATAAGCGAATTGCTTCAGCTTTGTATTTGCATCCAAGATGTGAATCCGGGGGCCGTGTGGCTCTTTGTGACAGACTTTTTTTTTTTTTTCATATTTCTCTGGCTCAAGTTCAGAGCTGACTCTGAATTTACCAGAAGGGATTAGCCTGTTGGGCTCCCTTCATATTCAAATTCAACAAATATTATTAACTGCCTACTAAATTTTGGAGAGAAAGAATAGTGAGAGAGAAATGAAATGAAACCCTTACTCTCAAGGAGTTTAAATTCTATCTTGAATATAGGCCTGGGGACTTTTGGCATACGGACACCTGATTTACTTAGATTTACTTGGAGGTCAATTCCCTGCTTCCCTTTTGCCTTAAATTTCCCTCTTAAGCCTTTTTTTTTTTTTTGCGAGGCGATTGGGGTTAAGTGACTTGCCCAGAGTCACACAGCTAGTGAGTGTTATATGTCTAAGGTCAGATTTTTAAATTCAGGTTCTTCTGACTCCAGGGATGGTGCTCTATCCACTGTGCCACCTAGCTGCCCCTTAAGCCAATTTCTATGAGCATCATAGGATCAGACGGTGCCAAACAGGCATCCTTAGAGGTAATCTAGTCTAATTTCTTCATTTGAGAGATAAGGAAACTGATAGCCAGCTAAGTTAAGGGACCTGTCCAGGGTCACACGGGTAGTAAATGACAGAGGTGGGATTTAAACTCAGATCCTCCAACTCTAAAAGTCCCCCCTCCCTGACTCAGGAAGAAATGATCCTTTACAACAACTATAAAAATGACTTCTTCCTGTACTGCAATTCTGCCTCATACCCTTGACAAGCATGGTTTATATACATATATATGTATATATATATGTATGTGTATATATATATATAGATATATATATAAAGCATTTTTTCACTTTCACATAACTTTCAACTTTCCAACATACTTTCACACATAAGATCTCATTTGATCCTCACCATGAGACAGAAAAATCTGGTCAAATCATTTTTGTTTTATAGCTGGAGAGACGGAGTTAGGTCTGAGAAGTTAATTGATTTCCTCTATGTCACGTTCTTTTTGAGTCGAAGCGTCACTACTTGGCTTCTCACAATCTATGTGACCTTGGGCAAGTCACAATGTCTCTGAGCCTCAGTTTCCTCATATGTCAAATGGAGGTTAGAACTAGATGACCTCAGTATTCCTTTCCAGCTCTAAATCTATGCTTCCATGAATCTATCACCTGGAATTAGAACACATTTCTTCTCTTAGTCCTATGCTCCTTTTCATTCCACAGTGCTCATCTCTAGTAGGATTTCCAAATAAAAATCTCCTAGCTCACATTAGACCATCAGAAAAAAGTGCAATTTGTGGAGCCTTCCATTTCTCTCCTCTAAAGGCATTATAGCCATTGTAATTAATATTAGATTTTGATTACTTGCTAAATATTGCCTTTATGTGCAACAGCACTATAATTACTTCTCTAGACCTCTCCAGCTCCCTCTCAGGGAAGGCAATGTGATGAGCATGGTGAGTGTGATGAGGTCTCCAATAATGAGCTGATGACTTACCAGTTGCATTTCCAAGTGTGTGATCTCTGGGAGGGCTGAGAATCAGAGGAGAGCCAACTCCTAGAACCCAGTTGAAGTTGTCAGCCAGGGAATTTTGCCAACCACAGTTGCCATTTTCAAAGGTGCAGGAAGTTCCACACTCATTCTCATCAGTATTATCCCCACAGTCATCTACAAAATTGCAGCTCTGTTCTGGGAGGAAACACTTGCCATTCTGACATTCTCTATAGCCATATGGGCAGGAATCTGAAAGGAGAAGAATGTGGAAGTCACTGAAGATTCATACTCCTATAATCCAGCAAGGGTTTTAAAAAGTTAGAGCTAATATAATTATCTCTAAAAAAAAAAAAAAAGGAGGGGGTGGGTGGGCCCAAAGCACTTTAAGTAAATACCTTCAATGTACCTGAAGTTTCATTCTATTATCATTTTATTAATTTTGTATTAAATATAAACATAGCCTATATTATCAACTTTTTTCCCCCTTGTAAAACCTTAAGGGAAAAGTTCCATTTATGCATTCTTCCCAGCATGACTGCTTTCTAATCTGGCTTAATTACTGGCATTTCCCTTTTGTGCATTACACAATTGAACCATTTCAATTTACCTATAAGTGTTAAAAATTAGTTGTAGCAGATTCAGTATAAGAAGAAATATTTTTAAGGTTTCAGTTACAGAGCTTGGTTTTCTCAAAGAGATATTGAACAAAAAGATCAGCCAGAGAAGTATTATTGCCTTCTCTGTGCATTATTTCTAGGAGAGCTGTTGAAAACCAAGAAAATACCCGGATTATTTTATTTTATATACTTTTCAGTTTTAAATTGATTCCATCAACTCCCACTTGTTCTGCTTGGGTGGAGAAGGAAGAACTAAAACCAAGAGCTGGACCTTGCAAAAAGACAAATAATTGAATAAAGAGGGAAAAACACTTCCTAATAATCAGATATATCCCAAACTGGAATGAACTACTGGAGAGGTTGTGGGTACCCCTTTAGTAGTGGCATAAAGGTGGAGGTGGATTGAATAAATCAAATTATGCCACCTCCCCTACAGTTAGTGATAAAATGATGTGATCTATAAACTTAAATAGCTGAAAACAGGTATCAATCATAAATTTTACAAGTTCAAAAATGTCATTGATCAACTGGAGTGATGCTTCATAAGAAGAGTATATGTATTGGCTGAGGAAATGATAACATCCTGTGGAACTTCTATCAGTTAATCAATCAATCAACATTTACTAAGTCAACTATGTGCCAGGTACTGTGCTAAGCACCGGGAATATAAAAAAGAGGCAAAAGTCAGTTTTCAAGAAGCTCACAATCTAATGACAGAGACAACACAAACAAACACATACGAACGAGTTATGCACAGGATAAATAGGAAATAATTGACTGAGGGACAACACCAGAATTCAGAGGCTTCCTGCCAAAGATGAAATTTTATTTGGACTTAAAGGAAGCCCAAGAAGTATTCATTTAAGCCAGGCAAGCCAGCAGCAGAGATGAAGAGAGAAAGCAAACAAGGAAACTAGATTAATACCTGAGATTACAAGAGATTTTTAAAAAGTGGAGACAAGAGAATGTTCCAACTAAACCAGTGAAATTGATCAATTGGTGTGTGGGGGGGCGCAGTTTACAGCCCCTAGCCATAGTTTTGGTGTCTCCTTCCTCCTACTGGTCATGAAACTTAGAGGTTCCGAAGATGTCCTAGTTTCCTATGACCATCCTGGCAGTGTCCTCAGGTGAGTTTATGACAATGTCTTCATCGGAAATCACAGGAGCCAAAGACACAGATTCATGTCTTTTTAGAACCCAGTAGAAAGTTATACCAGACCTAAGGAGAACATCTTGTTGGTGCAGACAAGTGAACTTCCAGGAACTAGGAATTAGACCTTTGCCACATCTACTCTAAAATTTTGCACAGTTTCCCCGAGGTGTTCTATGTCCCAGACTTTTGGGGTGAAATGGCAAACCTCTTATAAACAACTTATAACAATCATACTGCTGTAGTTAAAATACAGTAAATTTAATATAATGGTCTGACTAATTGATAATTAACTCTTAATAAAGGAAGGAACAATGTCAGTTAGGGCTTATGAGCTTTTTGGCATTAGCAAGAAACTCCCAACCCCACAGGGATGGTCCACCCAGAGGTGGAAAAAACCCTTAGTACTTGACCTGCCAGTATGAGTAGGGATTGAGAGAATAAATCTACAGCCTATGCTAGATGTCTCTTCAGGACTCTAAGTGGTTTTCAAGAAAATGTTAGATGATCACTTGTTGGACACAATACAGAAGTAATTCTTGCTTGTGTATGAGTTGGAGTAGATATTCCTTGAAGCTTCTCTCAACTCTGAGATTCTGAGACAAAATCTGGTCCCTGTAGCAACATTCTTTTCAAATAGATGAATGACTCAAAACTAAAACTGATGTCTCTTAACCAAACACTGGGGGACAAGTTACTAAAAGAGATAAAGGAAAGTATGATTTTTTTAACACATCAGTAGCAAATAGCATTTTAGGGGAAAAAAAATCTTCAGGAAAAGGTAAGTTTTTCTCTAATACTTGACTGTATCTTCTACCCCGTGGATACTTACTGAGAGTTTGTAATGAAAATATACAGGGTAGAATATGCTCCATTGTCTTTATACTACATTCTCTCCATACTCCAAGAACACATACATATAAAAGAATACACACACCTACACACACATGCCCAAACCACCTGGAATGGTGTTTCCACGTCAAGGTTATATACCTATTAAGTGGAAGAGTGGGCATTTGAACCTGCATCTCCAAGTTCGATCCTCTATTTATTAAGTCACCTGATGTTTTCCCAAGCACTACTGTTATTTGGACATTTTTCAGTCATGTCTGATCCTTTATGATCCCATTTGGGGTTTTCTTAGCAAAGATACTGCAGTGGTTTGCCATTTCCTTCTCCAGCTCATTTTACAGATGAGGAAACTGAGGCAAATGGGGTTAGGTGATTTGCCCAGGATCAACAGCTAGTAAATATCAGAGACCAGATAAGAACTCAGGAAAATGAGTCTTCCTGACTCCAAGTCCGACAGTCTATCCAGTGTGCCACCTAACTGCCCCTTCCCAAGCACATATAGATTCAAATGTAGATTTTAAAATACAACAAAAGGGATTTGGACATAGTGGGGATATAATTTTTAATGGAAAATAATAGACTAGAAGAAGTTTACAGAATTTTAGAGCTGGAAATGTCTATAAAGGATTTTGACACAAATCCCTACTACCCCTTTTAGGAATCTATAACGTTCTATAGATGTGATCATCTAGCTTCTACTTAAATACTTCTACTAAAGTGAAATAGTCAAGCAATTACCTAGTGAAACAGTCCTGCAATCTTCCTCCCCATAGGTTCTAACTAGTTCTGCCCATTGTTAATTATTCAAATAACATCCCTACAACTGACCTACCCAAATCTTTTTTTATTAATTTATTTTAATTTATCAATAATCACTTCCATATGCTTTTGAGTTTAAAATTTTTCTCCCCCTTCCTCCCTACCACCCTCCCCAAAATGGTGCACAATCTGATATAAGCTATACATTTACATTCATATTAAACATATTTTCACATTAATGATGCTGTAAGTAGAAATTAAAACCAATGGGAGGAACCATCAGACAGAGGAAACAAAACTCAACAGAAGAGAAAAAAAAATAACAATTCAGCATCCATAGTTCTTTCTTTGGGTGTGGATAGCATTTTCCATCACAAGGCCTCTGGAGATGTCTTAGATCCTTATATTGCCATGAAGGGTTAAGTTTATCAATATTAGTCATCACACAACATGGCTGTTATTGTATACAATGTTCTCTTGGTTCTGCTCACTTCACTCAGCATCAGACCATCCAGGTCTTTCCATGTTTTTCTGAAGTCAGCCTGTTCATCATTTCTTATAGCACAATAGTATTCCATTACATTCATCTACCACAACTTGCTCAGCCATTCCCCAATCAATGGGCATCCTCTCAATTTCCAATTCTTTGCCACCACAAAAAGAGCTGCTATGAATATTTTTGTACATGTAGGTCCTTTTACCATTTGTGTGATCTCCTTGGGATATAGCCCTAGAAGTGCTATTGCTGGGTCAAAGGGTATGCACATTTTTATAGCCCTTTGGGCATAGTTCCAAATTGCTCTCCAAAATGGTTGGATCATTTCACAACTCCACCAACAATGCATTAGTGTTCCATTTTTCCCACATCTTCTCCAATATTTATCATTTTCCTGTTTTGTCATGCTAGCCATTCTGATAGGTGTGATGTGGTACCTCAGAGTTGTTTTGATTTGCATTTCTCTAATCTATACTGATTTAGAGCATTTTTTCATATGACTATAGATGGCTTTAATTTCTTCATCTGAGAACTGTCTGTTCATATCCTTTGACGACTTATCAATTGGGGAATGGCTTGTATTCTTATAAATTTGACTTAATTCTCTATATATTTTAGAAATGAGGCCCTTATCAGAGAGACTGGTTGTAAAAATTTTTTCCCAGTTTTCTATCTTCCTTCTAATCTTAGTTGCATTGACTTTGTGCAAAAACTTTTCAATTTAATGTAATCAAAATTACCTATTTTGATTTTTGTAATGTTCTCTGTCTCCTGTTTGGTCATGAGTTCTTCTGTTCTCCATAAATCTGACTGGTAAACTGTGAGGGACTGTTTGATGCCACCTACTGCCAGATGAGGGTTGTGCCAACATGGGACGGAAACTGGGTACCAGAAAGTAACTGGAGCTCTTGCTCTAGGGGCAGAGGCGGTGCTGGGCAGAGTTGTAGCATACTGGGATGAGATCTGGAGTCAGAGAGGTAACCGGAGCTCTTGCTCCCGAGACTGGAGCGGTGCTGGATGGAGCTGTGACAGGCTGGGGAGGAAGCGGGGTACAGGGAAGTGGCCGGAGCGCGCGTTCCCTAGGCAAGGACTGTGCCGCTTGGAGGGGGACGGCAGAGAGCGAACTCTCTCTGTCTAGCCTCCTTCTTTAGATACTATGCCGACCCCAGACACCTCCCCCCGGTATCTGGACCTGACTTCCTGAGTCACGTATGCTCCCTAGGGGTAGCACCCTCTCCCCTCACTCCTCCTTCCAAATCTCTGGGACCCACTTCCTGTGCCATGTATGCTCCCTTTGTCCGGACACTAGCGCTGGACATCCCCTTTTCATATTTGATCCTCGACGAGTCACTATGGGCGGGCTGAGGAGGAGGGACGAAGAAGGTACTA